TGCTGGGGTCAGCCATAACATCCAGAATACCTTTCAAACAGGAAATGCAAACTACAGTTTTGATACCTGAAAAAAGATGTCAGTGTCATTATCACTCTTCCAGTGTGATAACACAAGGTTCTAAAATAGTTCTGGTTATGAAAACAAAACCTCAAATAATTTGCAGATTTTCTTTTTTCTACATGTATGATTGGTTTGGCCCCAAGGCAATGTTGCAGATAAGAATGTCCATATTTGTAAAAACGTTACAGTCTAATTCTATGTAAAACATAATAAAAGAATGGTTGAGTTAATGGTCACATTGAAAGTGGTTTTCAAAGCCTTACAAAGTAATAGTAGCTTTACCACAAAGTGCAATGCTAAGAAAAACTGCCCTAACAAACACAGCATCCTTTATTTTTTATCAGAAAGTTGAAGTTCAATATCACAAACTGAAACGTAATTGAACATACAGACGTTGAGACAAAAGTAAAATAGTAATATATTCCTTTGTAAATTAGCCGAGTGGAAGTATAATGTTATGTTAAAGTACCCTAAAATCGGTCCTGAATTAAAGACTGTTAGTAAATGTTAAGTTACATTTGAAGAACTGGTTAATGTTGACAACTCTACAGATACACTTTCTTCACAAAACAAATTCTTATAAGAGATTTTTAATGATCCTTTTTTGTTGTAGATTATGTTTTTATAATGATCTAATCTATACATATACAGAAAAAAAGCCCCAGAAGTTTTAGATGTTTGACATTTCATTCAACCTTTAAACATTTTGAATGTTGAGAATGACCTTTTCAGATTTAAAACGGCTTTTTATTGTGAATGCAAAATTAGTATTTTTAGTATATTTATGTGTTGGTTTGTTCCAGTTCTACATTAAACTATAAAATATTGAAACCACAGACTTCATGTATATCAGTGACTGCACAGTAAAATGCTACAATGCTAAAATGCTAAAGGTGTTTAAAAACACTTTTCTCTAAAATATAGCCTGTTTTCCGTGGAAACAGACATCCTGTTCAGAACAAACAGTCCATTGAATGTGAACCTGCAGGGGTCTCGTTTGAAACCTCTGTGGAGCTATTTTAGGTGCTGGTGCACTTGGGCTCAGAGCAGGATTACGAACCTTCCCCAGGGTTTGAGACAATCACGAGCCTCAGAGGTAAGAGATTTATTGTGTAGCAGATGATTTGTGTTAGTTTGATTAATTGTTCATTTGCTGGAAAACATGCCCTGCTAAATCACAATATAAGATACATAGATCGCAAAAAAGGAATTTAGGTTGGTGATATTCATTTATTTTTGATATTATTAAAACAGTCCATAAAATGAACAGATAATGTCCATCAATCCTTCCCTGTTTGTGACACTAAGCCCAAAAGTCATTACTTTTCTACGTAAGGCAGGAATGTTTAAAAACTGATAGTCATAATTCAAAAAAGGATTAATGAGGTCCTAAAGCTTCTGGGATCGGTAGTTGGCAGATTCAAACTGTACTAAATACTGATTTGTTTTGGGCCATTGTCATGGCTTTGGGTCACTTTTATTTTTTTTATGGCTTCCAGAAATTGTCTAAAATTACAGTGTCCATAATCGTGCTGAAAAAAAAACCATGAAACTAATTCAAGCTGTGTCTACACGGTAATTATTTTAATCAGACCGGATCAATTCATTGTTTTTTAATATGATTTTTTTTATACAATATTCCATTTGACTTCGTTTCTTCAGGGTACCAACAGCTCAGATCAATATGAGCTGCCAATTTCTGCATTATTTTTATGAAAATCAACTTGCATCGTTCTTTAATCAATTTTGATACAATAAGAATGAACCAACTAATAAACACAGCCATTAAAAAAAGAACAATTCGTTTTGTGAATGAACATTGTCAACATGATCGTGTTCAATAAAGTTTCCGTGAAATGACCTTCCCTTGTCATCATCCGGGCCTCTAAATCCTCTACATACATCAGATCGCGCATGCGCATTCTTCCACTGTGGTTCGACCTCTGCAGTCGGTAAGTGTGTAATGGCAGTTTGAATGAGAAGCATATCCTTAGAAATCCCTTTTCATCCTCTCTTCTAACTTCACATTGCATCGTACAAGTGAGGATAGCATGCAGAATGGATTTGAATGTACACGTGAATGCCTTTATTTTCTCTGTAGAGCATTTTTACACCCGTTTGACCTTAATTCTCTCCGGTCTAACTTCCTCAGAGAGACCCGGGCTTCATCCAGATTTGACCGAACTTGTTAAAACTACCTGAAGCAGAAAATGTACGCCTGTGCAAAATTCGTCTCCACGCCGGCTCTGGTGAGTTTATTTCAAAGTTGTGTTTTGGTGCATTGGATTTCAGTCTTTCTTATTAGGAACCATAAATCGGATGGGCCTCTGATTGAACTTGACTGTATCTGACTGGCAAGGGTATCTGCAGTGTAGGCCAACAGGCTAACTAGCTAATGCTAAAACACAAAATAACAAACTGTAAATGGTTGCAATCTAAGTGTATCGTTCACGACTGCAGTGCATCTAAAATGTCATAAAAAAAACTGCATCCCTGCCATTTCCTTTAGCTCTTAGCTGACATTTTCATATGAAGTAGTTAGCTAAGGTCATGTCTAGCCTGCATTAGCCGAATTTAGTGCAGAGTTCACTTGAAATCCCCCTCACAGGGCTGCCACATTGATACACTTTGGTAATTTGGTCCTTCTTTGAATTGTTTGATTTAATATTTCTGTTAACATAAGTTGTTAGTCACTCTCCAAGGTCATATTTGTGTATCTAATGGCTCTTGCAAGCTAACCACTTTACACTACAAGAGGGTAGTTTGTTCCTAAAGCTTGCTATCAATGTTTTTTCTGCAGTTTCAAGTTCTAAGGCCTAATAAACCTTCAGCTCACCATGAATGACTTTGACAGCACAGACTGTATTGGTAGAGCATTAAAGGCCACAGGTCATCCTGCGTTTGCACAGCATTGAATAACACTGATGACAAAGTGACGTTCAAGGTGCCTTCCACTTTCTTACTGTCTGCAAGATGGGGACAGTTACCATCAATGTGTGTCATTTCTGATTGAGTTTGGATGCAGCTGTTCATCCAAATTTGTGCTTTTTATCTGTGATGTTGCTGCAGGTCCGTGCTGGTTCCCGGGCTCTTTACAGACCCCTGTCTGCCTCTGTGCTGTCCAGGCCTGACATCACAACAGAGGTAAGGAGACATAAAGGTCTCAAAATCTCTATTACTAATCTGCCTGTAATTAGTCTGTAATGTTGACTAATTGGCTCTAGCTGTTAACTGTGTTGTCCTTAGTGTGACGGTGTGTCAGTAGTATTCCAGACAGCCAAAAAAAAAGACAAATTTGAGACTTTGAATGATTTGGAAAACTGTCACAAAGTTTCTGCTTTTGAATAATTCCTTTTACTAATAGACCTTGTTAGCCACCTGCATTTTCCATATGCCACGATTCCAAAGGTGGTATTTACTGTTTTTCCTCTTCTGGCTACAGAGCGGTGCGGCTGTGATGCCACAGAGCCCTCTCAACCAACTCACACTGAGGGGCTTCCAGACCAGTGCTGTCAGCAGGGATATTGACACTGCTGCCAAGTTCATCGGAGCTGGTGCTGCCACAGTTGGAGTAGCTGGATCCGGAGCTGGTATTGGGACAGTGTTTGGCAGTCTCATTATCGGATATGCTAGGTTGGTTCTCATAGACGTGCAGACATAAAATACTGAATTACTTGGTTGTTGTTTTCCCTGTTTGTGCTTTCATTGATGCATTAACATTTTGACCTTGTTTGCAGGAACCCATCTCTGAAGCAGCAGCTGTTCTCATATGCCATCCTGGGATTCGCCCTGTCTGAAGCTATGGGACTGTTCTGTCTGATGGTTGCTTTCCTTATCCTGTTTGCTATGTGAAACTCTGCTGTAAAACAACACTTTCATTACAGATGTGACTACATATTTTATTGTGGCTACCAAAATTGTTCCGTGTTGCTGTCATGGAAATGTACATTTTCAAGTCTTTCAGACGCTGTCAAAGTAAGCAAAACATGTATTGTACAAATGTAAGAAATTACGTAATTAAAATACATGTATTTGACTATTTAACAATGGCGGAACCTTTTGTCTTGAGTATCATGCAATCAAAAGAAAGCAGTCAGGTTTCATGAATGTCATCTTTCCTGTGAAGCAGCTGCTAATGCCTGCCATAAATCAGCATTCTTTTCTCAGAGCATCACATGCAAGCTTTTTGGGGTCCACCTTAAGGAATTATTTGTTCGACTGCAGTTCATTAGTCCTGTAATTAGGCAGCAAGTCAGCGCTTGCTTTTGTAAATGGCATTGAATAAATATAGACGATTTAATTGACCTATATGCTGGGTTATGACTTTTTTGAATGACACAACTGATAGTCCTAACAGATATCGGACAGAAATCCCCAACATTTCCCTTTTCCAGCGACTCCAAAGCGGCAAAAAAATGATCTTTGGTTTGGTCTTGTTTTAGAAAATCTGTAATCGAGTGTCGACGTAAGCTTTTGAGAGACCAGTTTTTAGAAGCTTAAGTTTCATTGACTAGAGAAAGACACTACAGCCTATTAAACATAATGACATGAAAACGTTTCATACCTGGACTCTTAAATTAAGCCTTGATACTAACAAAAAGGAAATTAGAAGTAGGGTGAAGTTGACAGTTTAAACAGTCTGAAGAGCTGAAGTAAAATGCACTGCGACTTTTAATTTTGCCTAGCAGCCTTTTTAAAATCTATACAAAGTGAATCAATCTAGTCTAATCCACATATTGTTCATAGTGACTAAATTAACCCTGAAGACGTGATGCAAATATTTTAGAAAACGAGGGTGAATGAGGTACTAAGACTTTGTAAACCGTAATGAAATTTAAACATTTTGAGCGTCTGAAATATTAAAGGTAAAGCTTGTAAACTATTAGATATTAGTTAAATCGGAGCATTTACATGTTTGAAAAGGTGTATTTTACTTGCTGTTACCTTATCTAAAAACAAATCCGATTCGACCATCCTTCCTCGAGTTGTAAGTGACGTATGCGGAAATGCATATGGTGCGATCGCGACAGTTTGGTACAGACGTGGGATTTTGGAAATCAAGGGTTGTGGCTGAGGGGTAAGTGACCACAGAAACTGATAGCGAATGGATAATAAGCCGTCGTAAAATGCTTGATATCTGTCGGGTATAGTGTGATGTTTATAAGTACAATTTAACGGCCTCAAAATAAACGTTGCCATCTGTGTTTAAAGTGATATTTAGGTCCAAACATGGCGCCGGTTGTATGTTAACGCAGGCTAACGTTATTCTGAACAGATGCTCGCTGTGTGTCATCACGGTGCAGGTTTTCTGCGGAGCTTTCTCTTAATAATTATCAATATTTAAAACACATAAAGCAGTTTAAGGGTCAGTGAAGGATAACGCTCAAAACAAACCAAACGAGAACTGAGCGGCTTTTATTTTGATACCGTGATGTAAACAACACAAGCAACCGCCCATCAGCCATATGCTTTGTCCACACCTCCAGCTGCAGTTTATCAGGATATTTACAGTGCTACTACATACATTTCAAATGTGTTCTATGTAAGCCAATTGATGTTTTCTGCTCCTATTGTCACATTGCTTTATTCTACCTCTTTAAGGACCAAAAGTCCTGATATTAAAGTACACTTAGTCCTTATTGATCAGGCAGTTATTGGTCTGATTTAGAATTTTTTTTCCTGTGCTTTTTCCTGTTTTATTTTAGGGTGACATACTAGGAATCCCTTAATATGAGTGATGATAAACCTTTTCAATGTACTGCTCCTGGGTGTGGACAGGTAAGTCATCTCTTCTTAACGTTTATTATGCCCCAAGTTAGTGCGCAAACTACCCTGAAATAAACCTCCAGATTCCCTTGAGTTACAATGATCACAGCACACCATGGCTGGCAGATTTATATACTGTACGGAGATCCAGAGACCAGATGGCACTGATCAAAGTTTATATTTCACATAGGAAAGATGTTACAGCTGGATTTCAACACAGGGACCCTCGAGAAGACAGGGCTTTAATTATATGTAACAATGCAAGACTCAGTTGACTTTGCGCTTCAGTGATGTAGATTGCATTATTACTTATTACTCATGGTATTATTTTACATAAGGTTAATTGTATTAATGTTTTTTTTTTATTTGTTTGAGCCTCTAACCAAATATCATTTTCTGTCACAATGTGATAACGTTTTTTAAATCTTGAAATGGAAATGGCAGAACTGGACTTCTAAAGGGGACTGCTACAAAACACTAGAAAATGTTTCTTATTGTTTTTGTCATTATTTTATTTATTTCATGACATCTTCAAATTCTTGAGTGGCCCTACATGACTGTAAATACATCTCTCCGCCTGATATTCAATTTCTGTTACATTTTTACATTTTTCTTGGCTTTAAAAAGTGATGTATTGAGTCATCAAATCCGAGGACAAGTCATCAAATAAAAAAAAAAGGACTTTCCAATGTTTTTGTAAGCAGCAGCCCTGCAACTAAATCTTAAAATTCACTGAGAAAATGATGTTGTGTATTTGTAGTAGAGAGATTGAAGCTGATCGTACCTTATCGTTCTGTCGCTGAGTCTTAATCTTCTTTGACTGTTCACAGAGGTTTACGAATGAGGACCACTTGGCTGTCCACAAACACAAACATGAGATGACACTGAAGTTTGGTCCAGCAAGGACAGACACTGTTATCATTGCTGGTGAGCACTCCTGAAGTTTACATGTGTTGACGTTAAGGCTATACTCCCCATCACAGTCTACGTACTAAAGATTTCCCTCTGCTGCAGACCAAACCCCAACACCTACTCGCTTTTTGAAGAATTGTGAGGAGGTTGGACTCTTCAATGAACTTGCTAGTCCGTTCGACCATGACTTCAAAAAAGCAACAGAAGATGAAATTAAAAAGGTTGTTGTAAAATCCCTGTCTACAGATGATCTTATTTTTCTTGGTGACATAGTTAGCATCTTATGGAGAAAATCTATTCTTATTTGTCTAGTTACCGTTGGACTTGTCGCCTCTTGCAACGCCTATCATACGCAACAACAAAATTGAGGTGCCAACAGCAATGGAGGCACATCGAGACAGCCCTCTGCCTCACCCTGAATCTACCACGAGTGATGACAAGGTAATGCCTTTTGAGTTAAATGTTTCTGATATTTATAGTAATCACAGAGTTTAAAAAGTGGACTCTCTCTCTCTTTATAAATTAATCTGTAATTTAAGTTTTAATGGCATGAATATTAATTTTGTAATGGATCAGATAATTTGCTTGTTGTAATGTGACTTGAAGATGTTACTTGTGGATCATGCTGTAAAATAATACTAACAGTGCTGCACAAAAACTGTTATGAATAGAAACTCAGTGGAGATGTTCGATGACTTAGTTATGTTTTCTTCTCTACTTGTAAATCTCCTTTAATCCTGATTTTTTTGTAGAATACAGTGATATCTGGCCATCATTTTAACATGATACGTTAAGTCTCTTGTTCACTAAACAATTCCTGCAGCTAAGGTTTTATATGATGTTTTCAGGAAATATCTTTGCAGCCAGCCTCACTGCCAACATCCACTATAGTCCATCCTGCATCCCTCCAAGTTCCCAATGTACTTCTAGCAACCACAGAGGCTAGTGTTGTAATACAGCAAGCGCTCCCATCACCAACATCTAGCTCTGTTATTACCCAAGTCCCATCCACTAATAGGCCTATAGTGTAAGTAACTCAAAATGTCCATTTAATAAAAAACATAGTCATCTCTTATTTTTGATCATTTATATTTGTGCCGTTTTGTCGTTGTGAGCTCATATTTTCACAAGGCATGTGCTTGTTTTTGTTTTCATTTTTGCACTCCTCAGTAATTTTTTCATGATCAAAATCAGCATTGCTCAGATATGGACTTGCCGCTCCAGTTAAAATATGCTTAAGTGATTCTTCAAAATCTATCTTTGTCAAAATGATGGCATGGTTTAGTGTTGCTGGTATTTATAGTCCTAGATACTTCCTTTTGTTTGAGCTTCAGAGACGGTTGACTCAAGTAAAAAGAAATATAAACTGGTACAGTAAAGCACCAGAATTCCAGAGTTTACCAGATGATTTTTTTCATACATGTAAAATATCCATCATAAACGGTCATTATCATTTAAGTCTGGAACAAATCCACAGCGGCAATTATGCTGCATCCCACACAATTCATACTTCTAGCATTTCTTACTAAAACAAGAAGATAGTGATGAACACTTGTAAGTAACTAACCGGCTTGCATGTAAGTTTATATCAGATGTGTCAAATCTAATGTTATCTGATTACAGCAAACATCTCTATAGGTCATCTTTTCTGACCAAAAGCTGGTTTATAAAATGTTTTTTTGAAGACCCCAAAAACTCCTCAATGTAATGTAAAAGGAACCAGTAGATAATACAAAATGTTCCCTTCAGAGTAGATGGAAAAAAAAAACATCTTCACAGTTAAGATTTATTTCAGATAAAATCTTTGTATTCATGTTTGAACACCAATGTGTTTGAGCCAAAAGTCCATATCTGTGTAACACTGATGTCACTTATGGGGTTTTAATATGACAACAAATGTGTGTCCTAGTTATAGTGCAACCTTTTACACAACAGGTGTATTTTGAGTTGGCTTTTGTTTTAGTTACCCTTTATTTCCACAAGTTCTGATGCCTGATATGACATGATGTTGGTGTATCTGTATCCATACCCGTCTCTGATTTGTAACACTGTTTTTTAGTGTTATTCACAAAGTTCTTTGTTGTTTTCCTCACTGGAATGTGTTTTCTGTCCCCCTCAGCCCAGTGTCTGGCACCTTCCCTGTGCTCTTACAGCTGCCTAATGGTCAGACCGTGCCGGTCGCCATACCTGCATCAATAACAAGCTCAAGTGTACATATCCCGACTGCGATCCCTGTGAGTCATAATGTTGTTTTTCAGTTTGTATGAGTTTAAAGGTGAATTTTGAAATGTGACATCCTGATGATTAATCTGATCGTTTGGTGACTGTCTTAGAACATCAGAAGTGTTGATGCATTCAGCGAACCGCTCACTCTACTAATGGAGAAGTCTTTAACATGAACATTAGTTATTCAGCTTTTGTTCACTGCACACTTTTACATCAAGGTGTACTTATTAGCTGTTTAATCATAGCACATGATCTTCAAGAGCAGATAGAGTTTGACACTTAAAATTTTAATGTGATGATTAAGTTCTTTTATATTTAATGATAGCACCTCATTAATATTGGCCTATAAAAATAAGCTTAAGGCTTCAAAATCTCCAAATTTAGTGTCAGATCTTGAACTTTCATTCCTTTGACAAAGCTGCTAAGTTAAGTTTCTCTCTTTATACCAGATATCCGAGTTCTGAATGAGTAGCTCAAACTTATGGAAGCGTGTATGTACTTCACTCACAAGCATAAAAAACCCTTCAGACTACGTAGCTTCTTTGATCATTATTTTTACTCTATGATCTTCCTTTAGATCCTTCCATATGCAGTTAAAATTGTAAATGTTAATCTGTATCAACATGCCGTACTCCAGAGTTACCACTGAAGAAACCATGAGGTGTTATTGTTCAATGATTGCTGTGCTTAAGGTCAACAGAGAACTACCTAATGAGTATTTTCTCCTCCAGTCGAGTAACAGAGATTATTGTTGTAGTCCTGTGTGCAAAATAACAAAACTGCTGGATTGTGGAGTTACTGCATGCTCTAATGAGCACAAGTCAACTTTTTCTGAGTCATATTTAAAATTATGAATGTTCATGTGAATTACATTTTTCATTTCATTTCAGACCTTTATTTATTCTCGAAAAGACACTGAGGTTTCCCTCATTTCCAATGCCTTCGAGATTACAAGCACAGTAAAACAAGCAAAAACACAACAAACACTCAGAATCTGTGACAAAAACCACTGAGATCATTTAAAACAGTTACAATTTGAAACGAAGTTCTTCGAAATCAAATTCCTAAACTCTGGAAGAGAGGGAAGAACTCCGATCCTTAGAGTTTGCTGGAGGGCGTTCCACAAATTTGGGGCATCAAAAGAAAATGCAGATTTACAGAGTTCAGTAAAAGCTCAAGGGACTTTTAGAACGAGCCAATCAGAAGAACGGGTCATGTAGGCACCCGTATTCCACTCCAACAGGTCTGTGATGTAAGGTGGAAGTTTTCCAATAAGAGCCTTAAAGATATATAAAAGAGAAGGCCAACCGACCCTCTCATACAGGTCACAGTGATGAGTGTCAAATCTATCACCAGTCATAAACCTGAGGGCGGAGTGATACACGGCGTCCAGAGGCTTCAGAGTTGAAGCTGCAGCATGTCTATAAATGACATCGCCGTAATCCATCACTGACAAGAACACAGCTTCAATTATTCTTTTTCGATAACAGAAAACTTGATTTGTTTCTCTATAAAAAGCCAATTTTCGGTCGCAACTTGGAGACAAGAGTTTTTACATGGAACTTAAAAATGAGTTCCTCATCGAGCCACATGCCAAGATATCTATACTCATTTACTCTCTAGATGTCTGAGCCATTTAAAGAAGTTATGCGTACACTCTCGTAATCAATGTTTTTGGCTCTCGAGAATAGCATAAATTTTGTTTTAATCTCATTAAGTAGCAGTTTTTGGCTAATGGGATATTCTTGGACAGAATTAAAAGTTGCACGTTCTTGATGGCCAACTGTACAGAATCTGCAGTACAATACAAAATAGTGTTGTCTGCATAGAGATGGCCATGACAACCATTCAAAGAAGAAACAATTCCATTAACATAAATAATGAAGAGCATGGGACCCAAGATTGAACCTTGTGGCACACCTCTATTAATGAGCAAAAATTCAGATTTAGCATGACCTAGCTTAACACAATGACACCTGTCAAACAAATAATTCTGAAACCAGGCACATGCATTTCCATCCAACCCAATAGCATCTAATTTCTTTAAAAGAAGGTGATGATCGACCGTATCAAAAGCTTTTGACAAATCTATAAAAAGAGCAGCACAGTGGTGCTTCGTGTCTAGTGCTAGTTTTATATCATTTGACACCAATGTGATGGCTGAACTGGTGCTATGATTGGCTCTGAAACCAGATTGCTGCGGCCTCAGTACTGAGTGATCTAAAAGAAAATTAAAGCCCATGTGAAATGACATTCAGACTACACTGCTGCAGCAGTGACATTACTACCACATATTTCCTTCAGACTACTTGGACAGAGGGACTATTTACGACTTTGGTTCCTCCGATTTGGCAGCCAATGCAAAGCTTTGGAGGTTTATCGAAATAATGGAGTTTTGGAGTACAACTGTGGCAAAGACACAGTGTTTTGGTAAATCTCAGCAGGCTCCTGTCCAGGATCCTGTGCTGCTATTTGTCCTTGTACAATTAGAATCAACACTCTTGATTCCTAGCAGAGTAGATAGATGATGCTGCTGCTATGTTTTGCAAACCAATTACAACTGCCACCCATGACAGTGTCTAATATTGAAAATTAGTTGTAAATGAAGGTCCTGTTGGTGTTGTTCTGATCTCCCCCATGTGGAAGCTTGTCGTGTAAAGTCCTGATTGTCTGTGTGGAACAGTGAGCAGCAGATGATTATCTCCTGATAGTGGCACAGCAGGGGAAAAAACCCTCTTCTTTCTAAAATCTGTAGGGACTGGGAACGCTGGTGACAAGGAAAGGAGGGCAAAAGTAGATGGAGAACATGAGCCACCAGTGGGCCTCTCTTTCCCTCGATCATCTTCTCCCCCTTCCCCTCTCTCTCTCCGTCCCTCTCTCTCTCTTTCTCATTGTCAGTTGCAGCAAGAGGAGGCCTGGCTCTGGCCTTCCGACTTGTGTCTCTCCATCCTCTCTTCAGCTTCCCTGTCCATATGCTCTCACGCAGGCAGGCAGAGGTTCATTAGCGTGCACTCTGCATCTCCATGTGGCGCTGCCTCCACAAAATAACAGGCCATCCAACCTAATGAGGCTGAGATATGAGGAAACCGAGAGCCCGCCGTGGCTGTGTGTGTGTGTGTGTGTGTGTGTGTGTGTGTGTGTGTGTGTGTGTGTGTGTGTGTGTGTGTGTGTATTGTGGTTGAGTGCTGCCTGCCTTTTTATTGCAGAAGACTAATTTTCTCTGTGCTCATCTATCTCTGTGTCTCTGCCGTCAGCTTGTCAGACCTGTCACCGTAGTGCCTAACGTCCCCGGGATCCCAGGACCTCCCTCGCCACAACCCCAACCACAGCCACCGCAGCCCGCCCAAACAGAAGCAAAGCTGGTATTAATTATCTCTTCTTTCACATCAAATATTATTTCAATGTTGAGTCTGTTATTTCCCATCGGAGAGATAATAATGATCAGAGTTAAAAGTGAGCATGAACAATAAGGGAGCTGTCACTCTCCTTGACCAGAGGAGGGCGCTAGTGAAAGGCTGGGCGTATTGTCAATTTATGATCATTCATACCATCCTTTAATAAATTCACTTCACCATCCTCCGCGTTATTATAAAGGTTCTTAGCATATTACTTAATTACAAAACTTTAATTTTTTGTTTGACTCAAATTAATCAAACGCTTTTAAAAGTTAATTTCAAAGCAGAATGTTTATACTAAGAAAGGCACGTTTATTTTTTTAAAGCAACATTCATAGAAATTCAGAGTATTCAAACATATTCAAAAACACAACATAAGACATATAGCAGGATACAAGTAAATATGGCACAAATGTAGGACATTAAATAAGGGATATTTTAAACTTCACTGTCTCAGAATAATCCAGCTTTAACATGCACAAATATTCCAGGTGTTTCTCTGTGGGGAGAAGATGTAATCGCAGTCTTGTAACAGTTTGTCCTTTGAAAATCGTGAGAGTTGAAGGGCGGGGATATGAAGTGTTGGGAGGGAGATCGGTGGCAAAGTGATGAAGCAGGGATCACAGAACCTGTAAGTGTTCGCAGCATGCTCCGCCTGTTAAAATTAACAGATAAACTGTGTGTGTGTGTGTGTGTGTGTGTGTGTGTGTGTGTGTGTGTGTGTGTGTGTGTGTGTGTGTGTGTGTGTGTGTGTGTGTGTGTGTGTGTGTGTGTGTGTGTGTGTGTGTGTGTGTGTGTGTGTTTTGTGGGAGGGAAGAATTGATCCTGACTGGCGAGGAGGAGGACAGTAAGAAGGCAGGGTGAGGGGAGGGGAGTTGTTGGGGATCATGGGGGTACAGAGATGACAAACGCGTAGACAGCGTTGTGCTCAGCATGCCGTCACCGGGGCCAACCGGAGGGGGGCTACCAGTGAAAGCCAGCTGGGGGGCATCCTGGCACACGCACATTAAGACGGCCTCACCCTGCATGGAACCTTTTGTTCAGCAGAATCCTGCCTGACCTGTGCCGCGCGCCCCCCCCCATACTCATAACACCTCCCACCGCTCTCAGCTCATCAGCAAACACCTAATGAGCACACGTCAAGAAAAACAGACCCCCGCTCAACCTGCCCGCTCCCCACCCCCACCCGGTTCTCGGGGGGCGCGGAGACGGCACTTTACAAGGACTGATGATGCTGCAAAGACCACAATAATGATAATTAACTTGCTGAATTTAGAAGATTATGCTGTTAATTAGTTGCAAAATAAAGATAAGTAATATAGTAGCAGATGGTTGAATAAAACCCCTGAGATGGAGGGTTATTACACTGATGAGGTTTCCATGGCAGAGATGAAATATGAATCTGACTGGCTCTCCCCTCTTTCTATGGGCCATTCCAGGAGAATAATATCTCGTTTCTGCCAGAAGAGCTTCTGGAAGGGTATTAACCATAAACTAATTTGGTAGATAGATTGGTCTGGCAAAGGTAGTTGTTAGAATAATGTGCTCCTCTGTTTTCTCATGTAAATGTATTCCCTCTCACTTTGTTATTGCTTCCAAAGGCTCATTCACGTTCACCTTGTTTGCTCTGGGTTTGAGTCCAGAGGAATTGGCCTGTAAATCATGGACAGCGATCTGTAGGAGAATCCTTTCTATGAATGGACAGTGCTTTCGTTTGTCATATGAAGTCCAATCAATGTGTTTTAAAAAAGATGTGTTTTTTGATCCTTTCTGGCTGTTGTTGCCCATGACTTTTGTTATCCTGCGATGATTACAACCGAAAAAACATGCAGATTAAGGTCTGAGGTGTTCTGCTTGCTCGCCTTGGACAGCAGGATTATGTTGATCATACTTGAAAGAAGGCAGGGTGTGAAATAAATGAGGATTTTCACTCAGTGTCAGTTTTTCTTGTTTAATGATTTCATATAAATTTTAAAAACATATTTGAAAGATTTATAATGATGTGGAAAATGTATCACCACAACAAACGGAGGATACCTATATATTTCTATACATATAGTAAGCATCCTTGATTGCAAAGTTCTCTGCTAACTGCTTCAAACTAAGTATCTTCATTGAGGCAAGATGTTTCAGTCTGTTCATTAACTGCCATAAACTCATGCTAGGTCTGTTCTTGTTAATAAGTACAACTTTCCTCAACTTCTTTCTGCACACAGACTTTTTTTTATGACTTCTGGACTTTTTAAATTCATTTAATGTCTGAAACAAAGCTGTCAAAAGATTTCTGTAACCTTAAGGTTTGTTTGTCAAAATGGTCCGATCACTACTCGGTCGTTTGTATTTCATTGACTAAGGTGGAAAATCTCCAAATGCAAATCAATGAAAACATGCTCTCATGGATCACCTCTGTGCTGCTGCAAGTTGCATCATAGTTGGTTTGATGTAGTCTAATTAAGGTCGTGGTCGTTGTTCTTTATGTTAACTGTGTTCATCTGAGCTAATCTTTTACTCAAAATAAGGACTTTTTTGTTTCAGTGTTTGACCATTTGATGACAGTTTTTTCTGTGTCTAACTCTTTTCCCCAGAATCTCAAAACAACAATAAGCCAGCAGATTCCTCAGGTAACAAACGGAGATGGTGCTGAAGTCCAGAGCAGCGCTGTAACTGCTGCTCCCTCTTCTCCTGCTCCACCCCCGATACCGACCCCGGCTACGACTCCAGTCCCGATGGCAGTCCTGTCTCCTGTTCCACCTCCTCAGCCTCCCATAACTGAGGAACCTTCACCCCAAACTCTTCAGCAGCCAGCCACCTCCACCACAGAGACCCCTGTAAGTATGATGTGTTATGAAGGACAAAGAAAAACATTTTAAGAAAGAATCAGAAGTTACAGTAGGTACATCATTGTCTGAGTTAACTTAAAATAAGGAAAATAAGTTAAGGAAAATATGGCCGTTGTTTTCATATGAACTGACACTGGATTTTATAGTTTTTCCTTTAGTTTTTAAACTAACATGTTACCAGGTTTTTAAATGGTGCTCCATGTAATGTCATCTTAGCTTCACGTATGGAGATTAGTTACAGTAACTTCAGTATTTTGAGTGCAACAATATAATATTTAGTGCTACACATGACAGATATTTCATTGGTTTTGTTTTGCCATTCTCTGTCTTGTGTTTTTATTGCAACTGTTCAGGCTTCACCAGTCCCTCCTCCTCCTCCAAACCCTCCAAGCACAGGAGGTCGACGACGCAGAACCACAAGTGAAGACCCCGATGAGAAGCGGCGCAAGTTCCTGGAGCGCAATAGAGCGGCGGCCTCTCGCTGCAGGCAGAAGAGGAAAGTGTGGGTCCAGTCCCTCGAGAAGAAGGCAGATGACCTCAACTCCACCAATGGACAACTACAGGTACTCTTCACCTGTTCCTCACAGCCACAGCATGTCACAACAGATACTTTACCTCTCTTTGGTTTTATGCTCTTTTGCATCAATGTGTCAGTATTGTGTGTGTAGGGATGCATGCAGATGTCTGTTTATTATTGTGTGCTGTTGGTGCAAAGCGTGTGTGCACACACACTTTTCCCTTCTGTGTTGATGAAGTCATTAAAGCCGATTAAGAAGAGCTGCCGTGTGACAGCAGCGGTGTGTGAGCCCTTTACATCGATACGTCCCTGTCAATAAAGATGTATCCTCCAGATGTCAGCCGCACACAAGCGTGTCTTCGCTTCTGTCTCAGCAGTTTACTGAATGGCCTCAAAAATCTCCCAGGGAAAGGTGTCTTTTTGAACCTTCATTTCGCAGCGAGCAATTAGGATCTGATGCTGACAAGTTCGAAACAGTTCATGTATCTGCTGTCTCTGTTGATAAGTGTGAGCAGGGGGTGCGGCACATCGGTGTTCCAGACAATTAAATGAGATGTGGTGTTTATTTGCTCTCTTGTCTTATTTTTCTCTGAAAGCAGAATAAGATGTGGAGGGTGGAGGAGGGGACAGACAGCAGCGGGGAGAGAGAGGGGTTCATGTTAATATCTGCTTCAAAAACAAGTTATCACCACTTGTCATGGGCGCTCTTGCTGATATATATATATTTTTTTTACATATTGGTGGATGAAAGGGAAAGTATAGGTGAGTGAATGGGGTGATAAACAGATTGCATCATGCGTTAACTACAAAGAAGAGAACAACATGTGGCAGAGAATAAAAAGGCGCTTTATATGAAGGCATTAATCAGCAGTGCAGTTTTTGTAAAAAAAAAAAAAAACCCATGCTGACACGGCCCAGCTGATCAGTGAAACTGCCTCTAATGATGCACAATTATTTTAACATCATCCTTAACTGGCTTTTTAATGAGGTGTCAGACCAGGCGGCTCACAGGGCTCCCAGCATCACCCAAGGCCCATTTGCTCAATTTCGATTAAATCACAAAGTTAAAAACTCCAGTTTAACTCTTGGTCTGGTTTTAAAATCCTGGTGTCAATAAAACTGTGGCCTGAGATCAATGAAGATACTGCTGAAGATATTGTTTTTATTTCATCTTCTGGGTCAGAGTTTTTGGAAAATCAAAAATGTGCTATTGAAGAAGTATGATGTATTCTTGCACATTTTTTTTCACATTTAACCGAGGACACAACGGTGTGTAATGTATGTTGACATCTCTGACCTTTGTGTGGATGTCTATCATATATGTTTCCATATAGTAGAGTAGAGAGACACTTCATGTTGTCAAAGGATGCTTTGTGTTTATAATGGTATAAACTGGCAGCAGTCATGGAGGTAGTTAAGTGAATACAGCTTTGGCTACATGTGATACATACGCGTCTTCCAGCTGTGTTTTAAATCTGTCTTACAATAGCTCAGCCCTGCCAGCAGCAGCAAGACTAAACAGATGGAATCAAATAAATTGGCTGCTTTTAGACTAATAGATTGAGCCGCCCGTAGTCCTTTAAAGGAGAAGGGAAGGAGCTTAAATCTGCCACTGGGCGTTCGGCGGGCTCCCGGCCGCTCTAAATCCAGTTAAAGTCACCTTCAGCGTAATGTGGCTCCCTTTTACGACATGCAGAAATCCCCAGCTCCCGCGGGAGTTGTAACGACACGAGAGTGTAAATCTGGGCAGCATCTACAAAGTTGCTCTGACAAAACCGCGCAGCTCACCTCTGACAAATGTGCTGGTCTGAAGCCAGTGAAGGCCCATAATTATTGTGCAGGTACAACATAAAGAAGAAGTGCATCACACCTTATTCTGAATACATCCATTATGTTATTATCTTTCCCTGTGTTTGCTGTTTCTCATGGAGGAGTTTATCAGCAGTAATGTAGTGGTCACATGACTTACTGTAAGGAGGGCCTGAGAATTTAACCCTGTGATCTCATTAATCAACCCAATGGAGGTTAAGGGTTCAGCTCTTAATACACAGTAAAGAGAGAGAGAACAAAGCCACATTCAAGTCTAGTTTGGTTTTAATATTCAGCATTTACTTTGTGTATCTGTGTATGGATTTTTGTTTAATTTGTGTCAGTTTGTGGTTTGGGATCCTGTTTTGTCTTCAAATTAAATCAAGCTTCTGTTAAAGGAATCAGGCACATTTAAAGATGCTTAAAATACAGTAAGGATACATTGGACAGTTGTAAAAGTAAATAAAAAAAAGAAATATAATGCTAAAGAGCTGAAGATGCTAAATGCTAAAGATTAATCTTGAAACAATAAATGTTGTAGTCAAGATTGCAGTAACCGACCAAAACATTTAGGGATCGAGACCAAGTTAAGACCGTAACCAAGGCAGGGTGAGAGCAAGACAAGAACAAGAACAAGAACATAAATATCACTGAAAAATCATCATCTTGTGTGCAGTGGGCGTGTCACTCACTTAGACCGTAACACACGTTGCGGCCGGGATAAAAAGTCTGTTGAAGTTCTTCTAGAAACAGGTATTTTCCTTCCAATTAAAGTAATGACGTGGAAAAATTGGATTTAAAATCCGGAGTCTGACCAGTCCGAGACCAAGACAAGGCTGAGTAAAAATGCGAGACCTTCAAAAAGTGGTGTTGAGACCACAAGTACTACAACACTACATTACATCACCCCTTTCTTTTTAAATTATTAAATACAGTGATCCTCATCAAAAATGTCCACATTGGACTTTTTTAAACTCAAAATCAGTATCAAAAATTGTCTCAACAATTTCAACGATGATATATAGACTTTGAAATGAAATGAAAAAAAAAATTTCAGTCATTTTTTAAATAATCAAAATACAGCCTCTCCCTGGTTTTTAAAAAATCTGTCTCAGAGATTTGAGCTGTCTGCATGTGTCGTCTATTTGTCTTCAGGTTATAGTCTGACATACTGTATGCTCCATATTGACCAATTTCAGTGAGTGCTGTTGTGTCTCCTCTCTCCCTCAGAATGAAGTCACCCTGCTGAGAAACGAAGTGGCTCAGCTGAAGCAGCTTCTTCTGGCTCATAAAGATTGCCCCGTAACCGCCTTGCAGAAGAAATCTGGCTATCACAGTGAGTAATGCTCCATTATTCTCAGCCCGAGGCCTCCAGTGAAACGGCTCTGAAACGAGCTACGGCTAACCACTAATCAGACGTGTCTTACTTAAGGCCTAACAGGAAGAAATATTGACACATGAGGTCCATTTCTTTGAGAAACTTTGCAAAAGTTGGGATATTTATTTCCACTGTTGGTGTGGAAACTGAAAGCATGGTCTGAGTTATTTCAGGAGGCCACAGGTGGCTCCCAGGAAACAGAAATTGTTTTCTGATTTGACACCAAAATAAACATTTGTCTGAAAAAGAATGACGAGAAATGTCTGCAGGAAGGATTTTCAGAATCTCAATGTTTGAGAAAAGAAAGCAAGATCTCTCTTTTTGTAACACTACAAACCATTGTTAAATAATATATATTTTTAAAGCCATATCCATGTTCATTTTGAAAATTGTAGACGATTAAAGCTCTTTATTTAGTCCACCTGCACAGTGCCGTCTCTCTGCCAGCTCTTCTTTATCATATGGTCTCCTGTAGAATTATATCATCAATATTTCTTGGTTCCCTTCACTGGGGCTCTGTCGTTCTGATATTCAGCTCATAACTCGCCTTCCTCTCACAGATGAGCCAGTATGCAACGAGAGCAAGTATGCTTTAAGGCACTTCTCCACTGTGCTCCTAAAGCCTCCTCTGACTTGTATTGACAATGATTGCGTCTGAAATGAGTCCATTAAAGCAGAGGGTCTGACAAGACTGCAGAGCATTCTGGTTGTGGGGCGTCCAACCAGCTAGGCTGTTCATTAGGCATCCCTTATTGCGTCCCTCTGACACACGTCATGGGTGTTATGGGACTGATGGTTTCCAGGCTACGGCGGGCTGTCAGAGCCAGGTCTCATTTGGTTTCGTCTGGATTGTTTTTCAGCGAGATCTGCAGATGAATTGGGTCATCTTTCTCGTGCATTTGATAAGGACGTCTGTCCTGTGTTGGTAGACCTTTCTGAAGGATGACATTTGAGGAAGTGTTTTTTTTTTTTTTTTTACCTTGTTTGGAAAAATAAAACCTTATACCCAAATACGCCAGTTCATCTGTTTGGCTCATGATGACAGGTGGGCTAGATTTAATATGAGCCAAGAATGAGAGCCAACTTGTGTGTAAAAATAATTGTCTGAGGGAATAATCCAGTGGTTCAAAACTTCCTTTTTGTCTGACTCTACCCATCATGTTCCAAATGTATTCTTTTGGACTGAATTTAAACGTCAAGCTCTTTAACACTATTGATTTCTTTAAAGCGCGATTTGTTGAAATAGTTCTTACAATAGAGCTGTCAACAATGTTAAAATAGGTTTGGGAAAGTCTGCATTTGTAAACTATTTTCCATTCATGTAATTTCCTAAGGGCTCATCATGATATAAACATGCACATTAACCACATGGCGGAAGACTGCCTGAAATGCAATGAATACAAAATCTGTATGTTCATGTTCCAAACATTTGAGCAGATGGAGAGCAGGACACACAGGCCATGCATTTACAATTCACTGACCACATGCAATCCTAGCTAACAATCAGATACCCTCAGATTCATTTGGTCAATTTGGAAGGTGACTGCAGTTTAAGATATCACAATAAGTGAGGAAGAGAGAAGAGCGAGGAACGTGTGCTGCAGAAAGTACTCCTTAAAAAACATTTAGTGAGAGGAACAAGTGTAAAACACGAGGATTAGCTGAATCATAACATAATAGTGAACATTACATTTTTCGGTCAAATTGTGCAGGCGTACTTTCAGGCTGTGTAAATGACAGATCATCTCATATATTTATAACATTTATTTTAGCAGTTTAGTTCAGTTGGTGTAGAACTTCCCAACCTGGCACCTTCATAAGTACACCCTGGTGCACAAACTCTGGTTGGGATTCCCTGAACGAGTCTATCTGGCTCATTAGTAAAGCTCAGTACTTAATGTTGACTTATCGGTGGCCCTCATGTAAAGGCCTCATCAAGCACTCCATTTTCTCAGTGTTACATATCCCGTAAGGCAGCGCTGCCCTCCAGGACTGGTAATACCCTTCATCGTCCTGCCCAGGCGAAGCCATGGCAGGTGGAAGGAAATTACCCAGACAACCCCACAAACAAGCCAGGACACGCTTTCACTTGGCACACTAAGCTGTCCATCTGCTCGGAGTGAATCTTACTTCAGAAACCAAGAGAGCAGAAAGACGCTCCGGCTGCGCAGGGAACCCGAAACTCTCTGAGTATTATGATACATCAGCTCACCTCCCTGTAATATCGTTATGAGTAATAATGCTCACTTGAACAAGGAACAAAACCACCATGCTGATTTATTCTGAGGTTGACCTTCTGCATTGTAAAACAGCGAGGGAGTTTATAGCGCTTTGACATTCCACTTGCACTAAATCACACGGTCAAAGTCCATCCATGAAGTCTCTAATGTGGACACATTTGTATTGAGCTTTAATCGCTTCCTCTTGCTGAGGAATCCACTCTTTACATTACTAAAAATGAAACTCAGTCATTAATTACCAAGTGCCATAACAAGTGACTTGATATCATTAACAATATTAATTATCACTCTGCTCCTTATTCCTTTACGAAACAGAGCATGAGAGTAGGTTTTTTTTTTTTCATCAAGATCCAATTAATTCAATGCAACTGCCTAACAGCTGGTGGCATTTCGACTCCAAGTCTTCTCTACTCTCCAGTGTGAGCATCATTAAAATCAGGTGCTGTAATCATCTGTCGCTGCAGTAGTTGGCAAGGTAACAAAAAAACAAATGAGAATGCAGTTAGGGATGGGAAACAGTGCCACATGCCCCAGAATGTAGTGCACCCTTATGATGTGGGTTTAAATTGACATTGGAGTTTTAATTAAAGGGAAGGGGTGCGGGAGTAGCATTATGGGGATTAATGAAAGCGTTTGCATACACCACATGCGATTCGGTGTTTTACATGTGATTAGTGTGTCAGAGCTTCCCGGAGACATCCTGGATCATATCAGGAAAATGGTACTGTAAGACAAATCCAAACATTATGATCCTTTTCCCCGACACAGTCTCTGACAAAGACGAGAGCTGCGAGGAGATGTCCGTCCCCAGCAGCCCCCAGAACGAGGCCATCCAGCACAGCTCCGTCAGCACCTCCAACGGGGTCAGCTCCTCTTCCTCCTCCTCCTCCACGACCCAGTCCAGCGCCACCAACTCTACATCCAACCAGAGCACAGAGGAGAGTGAGCTGCGGAGGGGCGACGCCCAGACCCAGCCTTCAGGGAGTTGATCATCCCAACCCCCCCCTTGTCAAGTGTCAATACTGGAGCGCTGTCACCTTTTTGATCTCTATGACAAAAAAATTGAGAAAAGAAATTGTGTCTCAGCTTCAGTTGTGACTGCACTGATTTTATTCCTCATTTATTTGTTTTTTGAACATGCAATGTGTTTTCTCTGAAATAGATGAAGACAGAAGAACGGGCACTTTAGGTGTAAGGTGACTTATTTATTCATCTTGTTTTTGAAGGTTGATCAGTGAATTGTTAGACAACTTACCAAAGTGTTTGGTGGCTCATTCATAATTGATTCACTTTGTTTTTCCTGACTTTTTCTCAGCACTATCTTAATGATGAAGTTACATTAAGAGCAGTCACTTTTCCTTTTATTTTATTTGGAAATGTGTTTTTTCCATTTTGCACATTTTGAGAGATGACTGGTTTATCTTTCTTAGAGTTGACAGTCCACATATGTTAAGTACTGGCAGCTTTTTTGTAGAGTAGTTTGGAATACTGTCACATTACACAAATGTAAATGGCTGAATCAGACTTTAACATTTGAAAACTTTTCTGTAGTCGCATTGTGCAGTTTGAATGTTTGTAAAAAAAAGTCTTAAGGAGGAGAGCTTGTTAGAAACGTGTGATAGTTCATCGACATTCCATCTGTGGTCTGATTGTTCCTGAAGCAGTGATTGTAGGATTGCAGTATCTTTTCCATTACTCAATCATGGTGATGTTGACTTCATTCAGTGCCATTAATGTTTTTGTAATTCCGTACATTTTTTTACACAGATTGTCTTGAGTTGCTCTCTCAGATTAAGGATCTCATGGACATAGTTTTTCAGTAAAGAAATCTCTTTGTATACCGTCTTTGCTTTCTAAGTGACTGTTAACCGCTTCAGTGTCTTTCACAGAAACACTTCAGGACATTAAGCTGTTATCATGATCGCAGTTCTCGATGACATTTTTTAGAAAACATTGTAAAAATAACATGTGGTGTGATCTTTCTAGGTGTTATGTACTTTGTTTTTTTAAGAGTAGTCTGGGTTCAGTAGTCGATCACATGAACTCTGTTAGCAGTTAAAAACTGATCTTAAAAGCTTTTAAAGTGTAAGGCCTCTTTCTGCCTGACTTCATACCTTTTCATGTCAAATGAAATATTCAGATGTGAACTAGAATCACATATTAAATAAAGCACCACTACTGCTTGTAAGAATTGTGAGCATTTTATCAATGAAATAACAGTAGAAGAAGAACACCACTCCTTGAAGTCCATTAGCCTTTTCTTTTAGTCTGTACCAGCTTACTACTGTGTAGTTTGAAGAGAAGCTAACATCTCCTTTACTTAAAGTATGATTTATTAAACTTGTGCTGTTCTGTGCTATCTGCATGAGATAATAATTCTCTGCGAGAATTTAACTGTTCATTAGAAAATGTCTCGGTCAGATAAATATCATTAAACAAGTTGGTTCAACTTGAGTTGTGGTTCTAAGTTTACGAGACTTTGCTTCTTTGTTTTTCCTGGGCTAAACTGCTAAAAGAAAACGGAGTGTGATACTGTGTTGAAATTGTACTTGTAACTTGTGAAAGTTCTGTATAAATTTGAATCAATAAGTTGTTGGAATAAACCTTTTAATATCTCTTTAAAATGCTGCATTTCATCTATTTTATTCTACTGCCTCATTTCACCATAAATGACCTCTGAATATGAATTTATTAATTACAAGCAAATAATAGCACATTTATTTTTAACAAAAGGATAATGAGATGAAGCCCAACTCATGAAACAATGACTGTTCCTTTATCATGACACATCTGACACACACCACTGTATTGTGACTGAGGTGTAACAGACATGTTGGAAAGCCGTTTCTGGCGCATTCAAACATTTCTTGTGGTATATTCTGCCACCTTGTGGATGATCTTGATTTAACCATATTTGGAGGAGTGATCAGCCATGAGGTGCTTTATCTTCAACTGTTCTATATTTGATCATGTTTTTATTGGCTGCAGTAAAACAATCACAATGTAAAAACACATAATCCACATTGTACTTCAGTTGAAGTACAGATATACTATCAGCACTAAATACTTAATTTAGCTGAGAATAATATAAGCTAATTTATTTTACAACTTCTGGACACTGCTGGATATTTTAATCAATAATGATGATTCATTTGGACCAACCATTATAGAGTAAATTCAAACAAGCACTGTAATGTCTTTTACCTGCTTTTTGTAACATAACAATGAGTAAGGTCTTTTACCTGCTCTTTTGTAATGTTAACAGACAATGAGTAAGGTATTTTACCTGCTCTTTTGTAACATAATAAGTAAGGTATTTTACCTGCTCTTTTGTAACATAACAATGAGTAATGTCTTTTACCTGCTCTTTTGTAATGTTAACCGACAATGAGTAAGGTATTTTACCTGCTCTTTTGTAACATAACAATAAGTAAGGTATTTTACCTGCTTTTTGTAACATAACAATAAGTAAGGTCTTTTACCTGCTCTTTTGTAATGTTAACCGACAATGAGTAAGGTATTTTACCTGCTCTTTTGTAATGTTAACCGACAATAAGTAAGGTATTTTACCTGCTCTTTTGTAACATAACAATAAGTAAGGTCTTTTACCTGCTTTTTGTAACATAACAATAAGTAAGGTCTTTTACCTGCTCTTTTGTAACATAACAATAAGTAAGGTCTTTTACCTGCTTTTTGTAACATAACAATGAGTAAGGTCTTTTACCTGCTCTTTTGTAACATAACAATAAGTAAGGTCTTTTACCTGCTTTTTGTAACATAACAATGAGTAAGGTCTTTTACCTGCTTTTTGTAACATAACAATGAGTAAGGTCTTTTACCTGCTCTTTTGTAAAGTGTCTTGAGATAACACTTGTTATGAGTTGACGCTATACAAATAAAATTGAATTGAATTGAGTTGAATTGAATTAATGAGGTTCAATATGAAGGTACTTTTAGACCTACCTTACCTTCAAGCAAATCGTGTTTTGTTGTTGTTTCAGATTAAATGGTCCTGCAGTAAGCATTAATTAGTTAAAATAGCTACAGCTTGCAGCTAGCTCACAGCTGAACTATGACTCAGATGGTGAACAGTACATTTTTTTTTTTTTTTTTTAAAGCTATGAGTGTAGAATGGGTTGGAAGTAAATATTATATGAATTTATCCAGCTAGGCCTATACTGGCCTATACATTTTTATGTTCTTAAGTCGTAATAAATGAGTTCCTACCAATTCATTAGTGAGCAATCTTGGCACAAGCAGAAGGCAGAGCTATAACAACAGTTTCTCTAAGCACATAAACGAGCCGCTTCTTTATGCCAGGACATCTTAATGTACCATGTTGGCAGAGCTGGAATAGTTGTTAAAAAAAAAAAATCACTCATCTCTTTCCATGTTCCAGGATTTATAGACTGGGAAAGGTGGATTATTCGAGAATACTATTGAAAAGACAGCTTCATCAACTGCTGCTATTCAGCACAACTTAAATACAGTTTAGGTCACTGGGTTCACAGTGCCCCCCAGTGGTCAGACAAACAAATCCAAATTCCAATAATAGCTCAAACAAAGAGCAGTTATCAAAAAGAATAACTTCAGTCAGGAATAAAACAGTCATGCAGTCACATGACCTGTTAGTTTAACACAGTAAGTTTGAGCCTACACTCGGTTTTGGAGTAAGATGTCCCTTTGAGCGTAAACTGCTGTAAGAGCATATTTGTAGGGCAATAAATATGTTCTATAATCCTCAAATAGGCCTAAAACAATTTCACTCTTAATTCAGTCCATATTAACTGTTTTCAGTCCATATGAACAGCTTTTGTTAAATGTACTTGTTAACTTGTCATATCTGAAGCGTCTTTATGCTTTATGGCAATGAAAGGCGCTGTACAAATTAATGTTGCCTTGTTACAACTTGACTTTGACTGTAGTGGACACAAAACACAGCTGAAAAGGAGTAACCATGATGATGTTGCCAGAATATAAATGTGCTCTTCTTTGGGGCAGCACACCCACACTGTCTTCTCACTTTATGGACTGTTACAAGAGTCAATGAGATGATCAGAGGTAAAATAAGATGTCATCTTAGTTACCTACTAAAGTACCTATTGGAGGCATTGTTGACATTTTTTTAAATATCGACTTGTTGACTCTACTTGTATAATTAACCTGCATGCATTCTCCTTTTACAGTCTCACATGTTTTCATTGCCAATTATTTCCACACAACAACAGAGGCTGCAGTTACAGTGACAATATAAGTGAACTGCCTTATGATAAATACATGCAGATTAAATATGATCTGAACATATTTACATATATCAAACTCTTTGATGGGCAAAAATATAAATCCAGAGCTTCAATTAACCCTTTGATCTCTTTGATTAATCTATTTGCACCAGCATTGAGTGTCCAGCAGGTGGCATTACATCCAAATCAATCCCCCAAACAAAGCCTCTGATTGAATGCATCTGCTTTTCATGGCAACATAGAGAACATTTTAAATGGGACAAACACGACACATGTTCTTGTTAATAAAGGGAAGAAAGGCTTTGTGAAGAGAAGATATAATCAACAATAAAACAAAAAAGTGGATTCAGGTTTTCAATAATTCAGCTCTTGTGATTTTCTTTTAAGATTGTATTTTTTCTATTAAATGTAAGAATTGTGATGACTTACTGATAATGATAAAAAAAACAAAAAAAAACGTTTTTCTGCCAGTTTTAGTTTTTTTTAACATTTGACCGAGACAGATTTCTGCCCCCCAACACACTGACACATTCTAACTGTTTAGACAAGGCGCTCCTGATTAGCTGCTGATCACAGAGGGGGGAATTGTAAATGTTACTATGTAGGTCACAGCATTGGCATAGCATCACAAGACTTTTGGGTTGACAATTCTTTCCTACAAAGCCATAAAAAAGGAAGATGCTACAATACAGATGTGGGTCTTTGAAATTTCATCAAAGAGAGGCGAGAAGAAGTGGAGCATCACAGTGATGATTTTCTCTTCTTCTTCTTCACCTCCATATGCAGACTATTCATTTTGATTGTTTGATTAATTAAATTTCCCCCCGGCAAACAGCCCTGCGTTATTCATTATTCATTCTATAATGATTTTCATTTTAATTTCTTGAGGGTTTCATTAATGAATGCATGGCATTTATAGAGGTATCAACATATTCTGGCTGTGGAGGAGGAGACGCTTTCAGACGGACAAAGATTTTTTTATTTTGAATGAGATTCATATATTGGTTTGTAATTCAAAAAGCATCTTTTTTTTCAGTTTCCAACATACATCCACTGTCTCCATATCTCTCATGTGGCCAACACATACTCACTGAGCCTAACTGGGAAAGAACTGAACCAACATAAAGAGGTTAGAGTCTCTGTTTCAGCCTGTGGATAAATGCGCAGGATAATAATGTGGAGCTGATCTGCTGACAGGCGACTGCTCCAGCTGTTCCCATAATTCGACAGGTATTAGGCTTTGGCCCTTAGCGGTCTGCCTCAGCAGACTGGCACTTAATTAGGCTAGGATTAAGGCCAAACAGCCTCATTTATGTGAATTGTATCATAAATACAAACAGGCTGCCCTTTTTTCCTTCGGGGGGCATCAGGGGTACATTTATGAAAACGCAGAGGTTTGCTGAATCGTAGATGCTCCAGGCTTCAAAACTCCAGATTTTTCAACAATGAGGTCTCTCTACCCCTGCTGAGGGGTGCTGTTTTGTGAGCACATGTTTTAACCCCTTGAGTCCTGGGAGACAGAGATGAAACAGCTTGATTTACATTTAATTCAGATTATGTAAATATGTTGAATGTGTCCCAAACCAAACATGGGGCACGATGCAAGCTGCCTGCAAAGATGGTCTCCATTGTTATTCAAATGGTTTTACTGCATAGTCCGAGCATTTCATTAAAGTCTTAATAAGATTTAATATGTTCTCCATGTGACTCTGATAACCACTTCACTTGGTCACCTTTAAATACTTTGTACAGACTCTGTTTGCTTTTACTCCTGATCTGTGAGCAACTGAGCCAGACATATCTGACTCTCTAACAAAAGAAGTGCATCTATTTAATAGTAGTATATGGTTGTATCACCGATCACTCAGTGCACTGTGGGGGTGAAAGGAAAGCCCCAGTGGGCACGTGCATTGAGTGAGCTCTGCCAATCCCTCCCCTGGGCACAACCATGCACCACTATCGTGCAGTTCTGGGGTCTCCTCCATCCGTCTCTGCTGATATTTACATCCACTGTATGTGATCGGCTTATTATATTTCTCAGTTCTATTTCCTTTGTGATTTTTTAAATTGTGTTATTAATATTTCATGTTGGTCCACTCTCAGCATGCATACAGAGATTATTTTAAAAAAAGCCTCTACCTCTGTTACAAAGACAACAGACATGTCATACTCTGCTTTCTTTGTGTCTCTTTGGTGTTGTTTTGAATCATTTTGTTCTGTTTTTTTTTTGTGTGTAATTATAATTATTTGTATCTTTGTAGACATCTAAATTCAGGAGACATAAATACTTCTCTTTGAAGTGTCTTACAGTTGCATTTTGGTAATCATAACTACACATCTTTAAACATTTAGAATTCAGTTTTGTAAAATACATGTAAGTC